TAGGGAAACATTTAAAAAATTTTAAGAAAATCTATGAGCCGCCCTCATGACAAAAAACCCAAAATAATGGGTTTTCAAACCCGCTGGATCCAGACCAGCCTGCGCATTTTCCCCGCAGTTTTGATCAGGTTTAAAGGGTGGTTTGCTTTTCAACCCCAAAACAAGGGAGAAAAAATGATACGAACACATGGATTTCCCGATCAGGGCTGCGCGGGTCCCAGGCTGGTTTTGGATCCATGCTGGTTTGCAAAACCCCTTATTTTTGTTTTTTCATTTACCCCCGGGCCCCAAATTTACTCTTTTTTGAAAGGGTTTGGGAAAAATTTTTTTCCTGAAAAATTCCCTTAATTTTTTCTAATACGATAATTTTTCTTAAATTTTTTTCATTTTTCATATTTAAATTAAAATTTAAAAAGGGGGTCCCAAAAATCACGGAATGGGGGAAATAGAAAAAATTACCGATAATTTTTAAGATATAATATTTTTTGATTGTACAAACTTACGTCACAAACTAGGTTTTGAAAATCTGTATATTCCATTTTTAAAAACAAATCTATTGTCGCGGTAAAATTTAGAAAAATAAAATTAAACACACACCCCCTGCCGATTTTTCGACTCCGTAAAAAAAAAGGGATTGCACGGCCTGGCAAAATTTTTTTGACTTGCTCAAATTTGCGTTATACAAAAATAGTGTAAAGAAAGCCTAAATGTTGTAAAAGTTATACCCATTTGGCGCGTCAATGAAAAAAAAGACCTTATTTTACTTTAAATGGTCTTTTATTTGGGGTGTTTTGATAAAATTTGAGAACATTTAAAATTCCGTGTTTTTAAAAAGTTCATTTAATTAAAAAAATTTTTTGCCAAAATTTTGTTGAAAAAAAAAATAAAAATTTATGCCCTTTTTTTGGCCAGGGAAAGGGGGTCCCCCATTAAAAATTTTTAATTAATTTTTATTCCCGAAAAAAACCCGGGGCAAATTTTAAAATTTAGTATTGAACTTACACTCACAATATCCTCTAAAAAAATTTGGTAAAAATGAATCATCTTTCCTAATAAAAAACTTGTCATTTTCATTCTTGAAGAGTTAAAATCGTGTTGATTGAGATTAAAAAAAAAAAAAAAAAACAAACAAAAAAAAAAACTTTCTTCTAAAATTAAAAAATGCAGTTTAATTTTTAAAAAGTGGGTGGACAATAGGGTGGACCAAAAAGGGGAGTTTTTCCTGAATTTTCTTCATGTTTAAAGATCTTTACTTGTTTTTTAAAAGATTTAAAAAAGGTTTTTAACAACATAATTATACTTTTTTTGGAAAAAAGGAAAGGTAGATCTACTTTTTTTTAAAACCCCGCCGACATGGGCCCCCACTATTTTTTATGGCTAAAATTTAAACCCAAAAATTAAATAATGAGGGAAAAAATTTGATTTCCCCAAAGACAAAAAATCAACCAATTTTACAAAAAATTTTTTAAAAATAAGGGGTTTTTTATAATTTTAAACTTTCAAATATTTTCCGGGGATATTTGATTTTTCTTAAACCATTTATTTTACTTTTTTTAAATTTTTTTTTTAAATTACAATCAATTTACGGATTTTTTATTTAAACGGGGATCAAAATTTAATAATTTAAAAAAAATCTAATTTGCCAACTTAGAAATTTAAATTTTTCCCCCGGAAAACTCTTTTAAATAAAAGAGAAAAAACAAAAATTTAAAAAAAATGTTTCAAAGTTTGGGTTTTGTCTTCAATTAATAAAATTTAAAAAAGTAAACCCCCTTATTCCCAAATTTTTTTATTTTTAATTTTTATCGAATTTAAAATTTAAAATTTTTTTTTTTAGAATTGTATACATGTTTATTTTAAAAATTAAAAAATAATTTGAGAGAGATCTGTTTTTAAATTTAAAATTTGTAACCAAAAAATAAGTGAAAAAAAATTCATTTTTGAAAAAAAAAAATCAATTTATTTGTTTTCGATGTGAAATAAAAAAATCTACTTTAAAAAACGGGGGACCGGGCAATAAAATGTGAAAAGCCGGTTTTGCAAAAAATAGACCCGGGGGAGGCTGGGAATTACCGATAAAAGGATCCTGGGAAAGGGGGGGTATCACTTTAGGGTTTTCCTTTTTAAAAATCCCCCGCAGTGATCTCCCCTTTTAAATTTTTAAAAGGGGTACCCCCTAAAGGGAAGTAACCCCTGCGAGGGGGTTTGCTTTCTCAATGTTGCAAGCGGGCTCTGTAAAAAAGGGAAAAAAAAAACTGTGTCGCAATTTTAAATTTAAATTTTGTTTTTGACATAAAAAAGTATTAAAAAGCAAAAAGATGGACCCGCACGAAATATGTTGTGTTGTAAAGGGGAGATTTATTTTAAAAAAAGTAATGACCTTGTGACCCTTTTTAAAAAAAAGTTTTAAAATGCATAATACATTTATGGGATCTAATTACACCCTTTGGGGAAATTTTACCTAGCAAAATGAAATCAAAAGGGAATTGAAAAATCGAGTTAAATTTGTCAAATCAAATACTGTGTACAAATTTTTAAAGGTTAATTTAAAAGAATTAAATTTATTTGGGTTTTTACATTGAAAATTTCAACCAAAAATAACCAAAAATGCATGATTAAATTTACCCAAATTTATTATTCTTTTTTGATTTTTCCCCAATTTAAAATAGACCAATAATCTAAGTGCATTCATTTTACATTATTAACAAAATTAAAAAAAGGGGATTTGTTTATTTCATTTATGATTATTAAATTTTAAAAACCCTTTTATTGATGAAAATTTAAAGGGCACAAAAAGTAATTTTATATTTTTACCTTTCATCACTTTTTACTTATCGACAATAAATTTCTGTTGTAGGAATAAGTTTAAGGATGGAAAAAAAGTTTTGTACAAAAATTAAATTTTCAAACTTAAATTTTCCCATTCCCCCCAAAAAGTTTAACAAGAAAATTGGCGCCCCAAAACCATCCCTCAAAATTTGGGTTTTCCAAACATAAGAAAAAAAAACCCCTTTTTGGGGGTTATTTTATGGAAAAAGGTACCCGAAATTTACCCTTTTCCCCGTAAAACGGGTACATTTTAAAAAATTTTTAAAAAAGAAAATTTATTTTACCAATTTTTTATAAACCCTAAAAATTTTTCATTTTATAGGGTTTTAACCAAAAAAAAACCAAAATTTTCTTAAAGGGAAAAAAAATGGGAATTGAAAAAAAGGGCATTTTAAAAAAACTTTAAACGGTATATAATCTAATTGTTAACCTTACCCCAAATATTTAAATTTTAAGGGAAGTTTTGGGGATAAATTTTAAAAAAGATTAAAAATTTCTTATAAAATTTTAAGGGGTTAAAATCGGGAAAAATTTCCCGTTTTTTTTATACAAAATCCCTTCCTTTCTGAAAATGGTTTTAAAAGGAAAAACAATTTTTAACCGGAAATTTTTTATGGGAAGGGGGAATTTTTTGGGCAAAAAGGAAAAAAAAGAAAACCCCAAAAAGAAACAAGGCCGGTTTTGAAAAACAACAAAAAGCCTTAAAAAAGTGAAAAAATTTTAAAATTACCGGGGGCTTTTTTAATTATTTGCCGAAATGAAAACCCCTTTTTAAAAAATTTTGTTTTATTAAGGGAAAATTTTTATTACAAAATTTTTTAAAGAATTTTCCCAAGTTTTTTAAAAAAACCCCGGCCCAAGTTTTGAAAAAGGCCCTCTTTTCCCTGGAGGGAACTTTTTTTCGGGGAAACCGGCCCCCGGGTTAAAAAAATTTAAGGATCAAGGTCAATTAAATTTTTTTTCATTTTGGAAAAAAAATTAAAATGAACCGGGAATTTTATGCGTTAAACCATTTCAAAATAATATAAAATTTCTTTGCGGCCCTCCCTTTTTTGATAAAAAAACCGGAAAAAATAAAAAAAAACATTTTGACTCTTTTAAAAATGAACCAAAAATTTTGGTTAAGTGGGAAAAAATTTCCCTTTTAAAAAAAAATAAAACCTAAACCTGCTACAAAGCCGATTGTTTAAAACTGTTAACCCCAAAAGGAAAAATTGGGTATTTTGGAAATTTTGTGATTTTACCTTTTCCAAGGGAAAACCCCAAGGGTTTATTTTAAAAAAAAAAAGGGTTTTAAGGCAATTTATTTTTAAAAATTTAAAATTAACAAATTTTTAAATATGTGGAAGTGAAAAAGGGAAGGGGTTTTTTTTTTTCCCTTTTTGGAAAAATTTTTTTAGGGGGAAAAAAAAATTTATTTTAAAGAATGTTTTGGAAAAAAAGAAAAATTTTTTATTTATTACATTTATCCCCCAGTCTAAGGGGAAAACCCTTTTAAAGACCCTTTGCTTTCTAAAAAACCATTGAACATGTTGAAGTACAACCCTATGGGGGATTATTATCATTTTTTATGCCCAATTTTTTGGGATTCTGGTTAAAAAAAAAGAAATTAAAGTGAATATTAAGATTTTAAAGGGACAGTACTCCATTTTAAGTGGGCTATATTTTTCTTGGGTTTTAAAAGGTTTTAACACTTTTGTTTTTAGAAAATTTTAAATTTAACTATAAAACAAAAAAATCAAAGTTATATACCTTTAAAAGTACACTTCGGGGTTTTTCCCGGTTTTTAACATTCCTTTAGCCAAATGTGAAATTTTTGGGGTTTTTTACAAAAAAAATTTTATAACTGCTTTAAAATGGGGAAAAATTGCTTTTCAAAATTAGGCAAAAATTTTTGACTTAGGTTAAAAAGTTAAGGGAAAAATAAAATTTTAAATTTTTCTCAGCCTTTTAAAAAAAAAACTTTCCCCCCATTCTGTGGGTCCAAAACCCCCAAAGGCTTTGATTACTTTTTAATTTTTAGGGAGATTAAAAATCTAGTTTTAATACAAGGGCAGTGGGTTCCCCCTTTTGTTTTCCCTTCTTGATGGAAACAAGCAAAAAGAGGCTACCTGAGGGTTTTAAAACAGGGAACCCCCTTTTTAAAATTCAAACAATAAAAAGGGTTGAAAATGCCCAAAATTTCCCGAAAATTTAACAGAAACAGAAGTAAAAAATTTTATTTAAATTTTTCAAAGGGGGGTTCTTCCCAAATTAAAAAAACCTTTAAAAAAATTTTAATTTTTGAATATGGCCCCCGATTGGGGCAATTTTAAAAAATCCACAAAATTAAATTTTTTTTTCTTTTCTTTTAAACCCTAAAATTAAATTTATAAATTAAGATTTTTTTTTTCCAGAATTATTATTTGGTTTGGCTTTTAAAATAATATTTAAAAAATTGAAAAATTCCCCTTAATTTTCTAATTTTTTTAAAAATTTTTAGTTTTTTTTTGGATTTAGAAAAACAATTTTTGATTTCTAAAATTTTTCAGGTCCCTTTTCAAACTAAAAACCATATTTTGGTTGGGTTTTAAATTGGGTTTTTTTTTTTTTTTAAAAAATTAAGGGTTGTTTCTTTTAACAATTTAAATTTTCATTTTGGGGAAAATTATAAATTTAAAAATTATTTGCCGCCCTTTTAATTTAACTTCCTTTTTACAACAAAATTTTCTTAAAAGAAATTTTAACTTTTGCGGAAAAATTTAAAGGCAAAAATTTTTTTGGGCCCTGGAAAAGTTTTTAAAAGAAAAGGTAAATAAACCCCTTTTTCAAATTTATTTACAAACATATAAATTTTTTAATAAATTAAAAAAAAAGGGTTGAAAAAAATGGGGTGGCTCCTTTGCCTAAATGGATAAGGTAGCTGACTTCAAGCAAAAATTTTACTCTCACTACTATTTGTTTAGATCCTGTCACAGATTATGAAGTCTTTTATGAGGATGATGGAAGATTGATGGTTTCTACTCAAAATTATCATCTAAGATTTTACTCCTCCAATTATGTTTGAAACTCTTGAATCAAAATCAACAACAACAAGTGTTACTGTGATAATTATATTTTTCAGGTGTAAGATGTGAGGCAAATACATTTGATGGCGAGCGTTGTTTATATGGGGCTCTAACTGACAAAATAAAGAGGCTTCTCTTGTCATATAACATGGTGTCATCTAAAGTAATAAGAAGAGATTTATATGAGGAATTTCTGAGAAGGTATGGTCATTTTGGAGAAATAAAAAAAGCATTATTAAAATTGCTAAAAATAATGACATGGTCTACCACTAAGTTTTTGTTTTGGTAAAATTGCTATCTTAATATCAGTAAAAATTTCTTTAACTCACCACTATAGGGTCTTATCTTTACCAATATGCTCCTGGCACTTACCAGATTGTTTATGGGTTTCTTGTCAGTTTCAAAATTTAGTAATGGATTTTCAAACATGTTTACAGATTGGCTGGACCAGAATTTCTTCTGTGTTTCCAGAATGGCAGTACTTTTTAGCTCAATTAGAGGTACATGTATTGTTACAGTCCTGGCGGTGTTGCCATCCAGCAAACTTGTACCTGGATCATAACTTTTTAAGTTCTTGGTGTATTGTCTTCATACTTGGCCATAACAACCCTTGAGACCTTTCAGTAGACTAGACTAACCTTGACCTTAATCAATAAATGACCTTGACCTTCAAGGTCAAATGTCTAAATTGTGCTTGTTTCTTGCAGTTCTTGACTATAACTTCGTTATTTTTTAATGGATTGTCTTCAAACTTGTTTTTATGTATTAACAGGTTGGCTGAACCAGAATTTCTTCCAGTTTCCAGCAGATTGGCATTTAATATGTTTCCAGATTGGCTGGACCAGAATTTTTTCCATATTTCCAGATTGACTGTATTTATTTTTATATGTTAACATGTTAGCTGAACCAGAATTTCTTCCATGTTTCCAGATTGGCAGTTTACATGTAACATATTTACAGGTTGACAGAACCAGAATTTCTTACATATTTTCAGGTTAGGCCCGAAAAACAGGGAATGAAAAACAAATTTGGTTCAAAAAGGTTTAAATGTTTCATTTTGAAGGGGGATTTCCGTTTCATAGATGTGTGCTCAGCTGTAGAAGCTCATACTTTGCTGACTTGTTTCGGACACGCTGGCTTGGCAGGAAGGTGATTAAACTAAAGCACCCAGGTGTAAGTAATATTTCCTTCATCATAATTATTATAGCCTGTAGAGATACACATTTTCTAAAACCGAGGTATATTTTGTCTGCGTTCAAATCATGGGTCATATTAATTTTTTAACACTCTTTTGCATTTCTTATCAATTCTCATTACTGGAGTTATGTACACAATTTATAGCACATATTGTTTTCAACAATCAGTGGACCAAATTAAATTTTTTTTTCACGGGAATATTCAAAAATATTTATTGTCTTAATTGTTAACAATTGCAGACCACAGTTCAGACGGCAAGATTGTGGTTGTACTTGGTCTGCGCTCTGGTCTTAAGGGTATAGATGATTGTTTTCTAGCAGAAAAAGGATTATATAAGAAACATACCAATATCAGTTATTGCTGTAATTTAGATAAACATTTTCAAAGTCAGCTCAAAAAACAATTGTTATTGTATGAAGACGACACCTTGCAATGAAAACTTCAAGTAATATTTTTATGATCATTGTATTTTTCTGAATTTCTTTAACAGATTCTGCCAGGTGCTTTTAAACAGATTGTCCAGTACTTGTATTCAGGTAAAATATTGAATATTTCTGTGTTTATAGTTAGAAATTTTTTAAAGGCAATCTTAGAAATGATATTCAGATGAAATATTTAATCACTTTGTTTATGTGTTTGGTAAATACTCAAGATCTTTCAGTAATTTTAGTAAGGTGAAATATCCAGTTACTCTGTGTATGTCAGTCTTGGTAATCATATACTTTTATTAAGTTAAATTTTAAATAATATTCATTTTTATGTGTTTTGGTAAATACTTGATCATTCTGTAAATTTTACTGATATTCAGATGAAATATTTAATCACTTTTTTAGATCACCTGTCACAAAGTGACAGGGTGAGCTTTTGTGATCGCTTTTCGTCCGGCGTCCGTCCGTCGTCCGTCCGTCCGTAAACTTTTACTTTAAATGACATCTCCTCATAAACCACTAAGCCAATTTCATCCAAACTTCACAGGAATGTTCATTTGGTGGTCACCTTTAAAAAAAAAAGAATTTAATTCCATGCAGAACTCTGGTTGCCATGGCAACCGAAAGAAAAAACTTTAAATATCTTCTTTTAAAAAACCCAAAGAGCTAGAGCTTAGATATTTGGCATGAAAAATCTTCTAGTGAGTGTCTACAAATTTTGTTCAAACAAAAGCCCTGGGGTCAAAATTGGCCCTGCCCCAGGGGGTCATTGATTTTCCCTATATGCATATAGTAAAAACTTAAAAAATCTTCTTTTAAAGAACCAAAAGAGCTAGAGCTAAGATATTTAGCATGAAACATCTTCTAATGAGTGTCTACCAAGTTTGTTGAAATAAAAGCCCTGGGGTCAAAATTGGCCCCGCCCCAGGGGGTCATTGATTTTCCTTATATGCAAAAAGTAAAAACTTAAAAAAATCTTCTTTTAAAGAACTCAAAGAGCTAGAGCTAAGATATTTAGCATGAAAAATGTTCTAATGGGTGTCTACCAAGTTTGTTCAAATAAAAACCCTGGGGTCAAAATTTGCCCCGCCCCGTGGGTCATTGATTTTCCTTATATATGTGTATAGCAAAAACTTTAAAAAATCTTCTTTGAAAAAACCTAAATAGCTAGAGTTTAGATATTAAGCATGAAACATCTTCTAGTGAGTGTCTACAAAGTTTGTTCAGATTAAAGCCCTGGGGACAAAATTGCCCCCGCCCCGGGGGTCATTGATTTTCCTTATATGTGTATAGCAAAAACTTAAAAATCTTCTTTGAAAAAACCCAAATAGCTAGAGTTTAGATATTAAGCATGAAACATGTTCTAGTAAGTGTCTACAAAGTTTGTTCAAATAAAGGCCCCGGGGTCAAAACTGGCCCCTCCCCAGGGGTGTCATTGTTTTTAACTATATGTGTATAGTAAAACCTTAAAAAATCTTCTTTGAAAAAACCTAAATAGCTAGAGTTTAGATATTTAGCATGAAACATCTTCTAGTGAGTGTCTACAAAGTTTGTTCAGATAAAAGCCCAGGGGTCAAAATTGGCCCTGCCCCAGGGGTCATTGATTTTCCTTATATGTGTATAGCAAAAACTTAAAAATCTTCTTTGAAAAAACCCAAATAGCTAGAGTTTAGATATTAAGCATGAAACATGTGCTAGTAAGTGTCTACAAAGTTTGTTGAAATAAAAGCCCTGGGGTCAAAACTGGCCCCGTCCCAGGGGTGTCATTGTTTTTAACTATATGTGTATAGTAAAAACTTAAAAAAAATTCTTTTAAAAAAACCAATTAGCTTCAGCTTAGATGTTAAGCATGAAACATCGTCTTATGGGTATCTACCATGTTTGTCCAAATAAAAGCCCTTTGGTTAAAATTGGCCCTCCCGGGGGTGGGGAGCGGGTGCAGATCATTGTTTCTCAATATATGCGTGTAGTAAAAACTTAACATCATGAAACATCTTCTTATGGATGTCTTCCAAGTTTGTTCAAATAAAAGCTCTGGGGTTTAAACTGGCCTATATACAGTTGAGCGACCTCAGGGCCATCATGGCCCTCTTGTTTATGTGTTTGGTAAATACTCAAAATCTTTCTGTAATTTATTAAGGTAAAATATCCAGTTACTTTGCGTATTAGTCTTGGTAATCATTCTACACTTGACCATTCAGTATTGTTTATGTGTTTTTGTAAAAAGATGTACTCAAAGCAAATACATGTATTTTATCTTTGTGAGCATTTAAAGAACATAATTATTATAAGTAAGTCCTTTCTTATTTCATATTGACTGGTGCTTGTATAGTAACAGTAAGGTTATGATAGTGGGGAAATTCTTAAGTAAAAGACTTCATTAATTTTATTATGTTCTAACTGATAAAAATTGTTTTCAGGCATGGGTGAAAGTTTTCAGGAATATACCTAAGTTCAGGATATTCAGACTCCTGAAAGCAATCTTAAACTTTTTCAAACAACAGAAAATTGTTAAATTCAGGATTTTCATGATGTTTCAAATTTCAAACTTCCACTCATGTTTTCAGGTCAAATGGAGATTCCTTTTTATGAAATAGAAGCATGTATCACACTAGCAAAACAATGTAAAATGTTGAAATTGATTGACCTTATTGAGGACAAATGTAAGAAGAATGCCTCTTTTGGTAAGTCACATTTTTATATATTGCTGGTAGTATGGCTTTCTATTCAATCTGAAAAGTTCAGTTAACAGTCACTACAAGATGTATATGGTTGAATTAAAGGGACACCACTTTTGATTTTTGACATGACGGGACTGAATTATGTCTCGAGATTAATGTTTCATTTGATGTAGATTTAGACCCATAACTTTACTGCAAAGTTTCAGATCATTTGCACACTTTGTTTTTCTAGAAGAATTATTCTTATTGTAAAAATGACCCAAATTTGTAAAGTGTTGCAATGTTTTTCACTCAAATCAGGCTAAGAATAGCTTAAAAATATGATTTTCAATTTATTTCTTAGTGCATGTATTTCTTAATTATCTTTTGCATGTCTTTCTGTTTAAAGTATCCCAGCTGATCTTTGTAAGAAATTAAATTTTATGTTTTTATGACTTTGAACCACAGTGAAGTTCCTTTAAAATTGAATTTAGATAAGAGAAAATTTTTGAATTGCTGAAATGTGTTCATATGAAACATCAGCCTTAAAGTGGCAACTGATTCTACCCATGTGACCAATGCAGATAAAGATTATAGCTATAACCTGTTCAGTCAGTACATATTTGGAGATTTCCCCTGATAAATAGTTATGTTGAGATTGAAAGATTGGAAAAGGTCATATAAGATATTAAAGAGTGGTAAGGGTTGATTATAATGTAACTTTACATGTGTTTTAGAAGAACAAATTTAGATCATGCTTGTTCTCTTGTTTATATAGGGGATTATGTAATTTTTTTTTTCAAACTGTCACAATAGATAATATGATGTCAAGCCAGATTGTTGAAGTTAATCAATTTAAATGAAGAAATTTATTTATTTCTGCGGATTTACAGAATCAACGAAGCCAGGTGTGCATATAACAACTGTATTAGTGGAGGAGCCCGACAAGTGGAAGCTTCAGTTAGATTTTGGTACGCTTGCTGACATCGCCCTTCCTTCAGAACTTTGCTCAATTGTAAGTATATCTATATGTGCATCATGTGTATTTTTTAGATCTTATTTTATTGCGGGCTCTTTTCTGATTGGTCTTTTGTCTTTGAACCACTTACCCATTACTACTGAGGGTCCAAATGTAGCTTTTGACTTTGAATTTTTTCATATCAAGAAGCTGTCATTCAGCTGTCAGAAGGTCAGTGGTTTTACTTGGGTGTGCGTGTTTGTGCATAAAATAAATATACACAGGAAAGTTTGATAGTGACTGAATGACCTTAAATTATTGACAAAATATAGGTGTAAACTACATGTTTGTATACAAAAAAATGTAGCTGAGGCTTTTTGCATTGTTGTTAGACGATGTCATTGTGAATATGTACATGTTTTATATGTCCTTTTTATGCCCCCGCCATGTAATGGCCGGGGCATATAGTGTTACCCTGTTCCGTCCTTCCGTCATTCCGTCCTTCCGTCATTCCGTCCTTCCGTCATTCCGTCATTCTGTCATTCCGTCATCATCAGTTTCCGTTCATTATTTTAGTAACGGTTGCACACATTCAACTCAAATTTGACATATGGATATGTCATGAGAAAATACAGGTCAAGTTCGAATTTGGTCATGGTTCGATGATTTTTGGCAGAGTTATGCCCCTTTTACTTTGAAAATAATATGAAATTTTCAGTTTCCGTTCATTATCTCCATAACGATACAACACGTTCAACTCAAACTTGACATATGGATATGTCATGAGAAAATACAGGTCAAGTTCGAATTTGGTCATGGTTCGATGATTTTTGGCAGAGTTATGCCCCTTTTACTTTGAAAATAATATGAAATTTTCAGTTTCCGTTCATTATCTCCATAACGATACAACACGTTCAACTCAAACTTGACATATGGATATGTCATGCAGAAAATATACAGGTCAAGTTCGAATTTGGTCATGGTTCGATGATTTTTGGCAGAGTTATGCCCCTTTTACTTTGAAAATAATATGAAATTTTCAGTTTCCGTTCATTATCTCCATAACGATACAACACGTTCAACTCAAACTTGACATATGGATATGTCATGAGAAAATACAGGTCAAGTTCGAATTTGGTCATGGTTCGATGATTTTTGGCAGAGTTATGCCCCTTTTACTTTGAAAATAATATGAAATTTTCAGTTTCTGTTTATTATCTCCCCAACAGTACAACACATTCAACTCAAACTTGACATATGGATACATCAAAGGAATGCGCAGGTCAAGTTCAAATTTGGTTGGGTTCAATGATTTTTGGCAGAGTTATGCCCCTTTCACTTTGAAAATAATATGAAATTTTCAGTTTCTGTTTATTATCTCCCCAACAGTACAACACATTCAACTCAAATTAGACATATGGATACGTTTTTGGAATGCGCAGGTCAAGTTTAAATTTGGTCATGGTTCAATGAATTTTGGCAGGGTAATGCCCCTTTCACCTTGAAAATAATATGAAATTTACAGTTTCTGTTCATTATCTACCCAACAGTGTTACATATTCAACTCAAATTTGACATATGGATATGTCAAAGGAATGGGCAGGTTGGAATTTGGTCATGGTTATATCCCTTTCACTTTGAAAATAATATAGATACATCTTGGGAATAAGCAGTTTAAGTTTGAATTTGGTCGTGGTTCAATGATTTTGGACAAACTTATCTTTCTTGAATGTTGGAAAAATTTTGAACTTTCAGCTTCAGCACTCATACTTTTGTGGAAATGTATGTAGCCATTATTTTGGCTACAAATATGAAATATGCTATTTTCAAAAGGTCAAGACTGAATAATTTCAGTGCCTTGAACATTGTATGAAAATGGTTTGTGTTAACATTGAAAAGTTTAAAGGGCTTTGAACTGCAAATGAAAAAAATAATTTGTGCAAACAAATTTGGAACTAAATATTATAACATCTGAAATTTTGGCTGCATGTGGGGGCATCCGTGGCATGATGACACATTTCTAGTTTTGTAAAATGAATAAAGCAGTTTAATCAGTATAAAATGTCAGTAAAATTTGATAATTTTGGAATATATGAATTGCTTTAATTGGATATTTGAATATGTTCCATTGCAGGTACATACATGTATAACTTAATTTGAATTTTTAATTATACTATAATATAATGATTTAACAATATTTCTGAAGATATTCAAAACATCAGTGTTGTAGAGCTTGAATATGTACATGTAATATTATTCGTTTACTTTAAATTGCAAATGCTGTTTGATTAGTATTCGTCCAATGGTTTGAAATGCAGACCCTCAACTTCTTGCAGATAAACATGAATTCTTATTTACCTACATGTCATTTTAGTTAGCTTGACTTTTTCAAATAAAAGATTTGAGCTATTGCTACAGTAATAATGCCATTCCTGTAGCTGTGGACTGTCTTCATACTTTGATATAACAACCCTTTAGGCAAGACTTTCATGTAAACAGACCAAACCTGACATTGACACATAAATGACCTTGACTTTTAAGGTCAACAGTTTGCATTCTGCTTGATATTTTGTTATTATTGGCTATAATTTTGTTATAAATGATTGTCTTCATACATGGATACAGCAATACTTCCATTAATAGCTTTACAAAAAAAGATTAACCTTTACCTTAACTCACCAATGACCTTGATCTTGAAGGTAAAATTTGAAATTTCCTGTATTTTTGCTGTAATTGGCTATTTCTTTGTTATTTACATGTATGAATGGATTGTGTTTATACTTAGACACAACAAGATCTACCAGTAAACCAATTTGACCATGCCTTTAGCTCATCAATGACCTTGACCTTGAAGGTCATATTTTTGAATGTTGCTTGATTTTTGCTATAATATGAAATTTGCTATAATTGCTATTACTTTGCGGACGGCTTAATTCATTTACAGGTTTGATTTCTACTTGGACAAAATAACACTTGTGGCTCAACTGACATGTTGAATAATTAAAAAATGACCTTGATCTTAAAATGATCTTAAATTTCAATGTCTAATTATAAGCATAAATTGACCTTTAAATGACCTTGATCATCAAGGTCAAATACATTATTTGGCCTTAATTGTGGTAATTATTTCATGTTATTATGGTTTTGATTGATACATTGACAAAATAGCAAATATGACATATCAAAATCTTAAATATTTCATGTATGACCTTGATCAGTAAAATTTAACCTTTGACTGTCAATGTCAAACATAAAATTTTAATTTTATTTTATGCAAAATAATGATGTTTCTTTGGAAATTCTTAACTACAATATTCATCCTTCGATGTGTTTGACTTAAGAAATAAGGAAAATTCAAGCCTCACTTGACAGTATTTCTTGTTGTATTATAGGCCACAGGTGAATTACCTTTTGAGCCGGAGTTTGCCTCAGTCTATGCAGATCTACAGCTTGTTGTTGAAGGACATAAATTTTACTGCCATAAGGTTTGCTTATCTATTTAAATATGGATTTTACTTAAAGAAAATAGTCAGTATTTTTAACTAATCTTATTTGCATATAATGCACTAAAGTGATAATATATTTCTTTTGACTCATACCCTGCTGGAACTTAAAGTCATTAACCTTTGCCCCCAGTATACAGCCAGGCCAGTCTGCACACCCAAGTAGTCTGGCCATACTCTATACTGCTGGCTAACAAACTTTGAACTTTCATCTTGATATCCCTAAAGTAGATAATGGACTTTTCCAAAAATAGATGCTGAACAAGTCCATTGAGAAAATCGCGCAGGAAAAGTTCACCTTTGCATGTTTGTCCACCTGTCTGATACATGAAATCAGTCACCTTGGATTTGTTAATTAGTTTAATGTCAGTAACTTAGGTGATTTGAACTTTTATTGTTGCACAACAATTATATCTAATTATATTAATTAATTAATTACTGAATGGAATAGTTGACTTTTTTAAATGTGTTTTAGGTCACAAGATGAAAGGTCACTGTGATTTTACAAATGTATAATTATAGTGATAGCAATTTCTGTTTAAAAGCATAACCCTTTAGTTACTGAATTTATGTAATGGATTTGCCCTGTTTTGAATTGGAATTATAAGTCAATTTAGTTATTCTGAGAATTCAATAATAAAAAATACCGAAATTGAGCTACCAGCAATATAGGGCCTGGTTAGACTCTGGGCATGTGCAGGCTGGCCTGGCTGTATACAGGTGGCAAAGTGGGGTAATATTTAATTCCCAGTTGTTAATATTTAAATTTGTTTCAGATCTTCATCCTTAACAAATACAAAATAAAACCCACTTAAATTTATATCATACCAATTGTGAGCAATTATTTCATTTACAGGTATTTTTCTGTGGTAGAAGTGATTATTTTAGGGCATTAGTTAACGATCATTTTGGTGAGGGTTGGACATCCGAAGATCAGTTACCTGTTCTAGAATTACACAACATAAGTGTAGAAATATTTGTTAAAGTCATGTACTATCTCTACCAGGATTATTGTGAGGTCAGTAAACAGTTCATGCTGATGAGATCTTTTGAGTGTACTTTTATGTATTCTTAAAGGCCCATTATGCCACAGAAATGCTTTTACTTGGCTTTTAAATTTTGGTTTACTTTTATAGTATCCAAAAAGTTACTAATAGGCCAATTACCTGAACCATCTTTTTCATCTGTTGCTTTTTAGAAATAAGCACAAATATAGTGAATAAGTATTTTGTATGGATTTAAAATTACTACATTGTTTACATTTTGCTACTTTTATGACAAATAATTTCACATTTATTGCATCTTTCTTCAGTTAACAAGCAGTTAACAGTCTGTAGTTCCTACAAATGTCCCCATGACAACCGTCTGATCTCACATTCTCTAAATCCATTGTTTAAATATTATTCAATTCATGTTTGCCCTTTTGAAAGTAGTAAACATTTATTTGTTTCTGAGGCATAATGTGCCTTTAAAGGGATTATAATTTTTTTATATATGTTTTCGATAATTTTGTACCATTTGATATAGGTCTTGAACTAATTAATTGTGCGCAAAATTTCAGATCATTCCCTCACTCTCTTTTCCCAGAATTATTACTTTAATTACGCAAAATGACCAAACAATAAAAAGCAGGCTGAACTGGTGCAAAAAAAAATAAAAAAAATAGTTATAATTGTTTTTCAATTTGACCCTAAGTATATTTTATTACTAACTTTTCCAGATTTTTTTCCAGCTAGAGTGCATGTCTTGATCTATGCAAGAATTTGAAATTTTAGGTTAAACAAAAAGCTAAACTTAAGACAAATATTTCATGAGTATGTTGAATGTCAAGATTGCTTTATTTTGAAAAAAAATTTCACATTTTGATTGCTTATATATGAAGATAAGCAATTTATCTGTTGCTTTTATAATGACTAAATTTGAATATTTTTTATTGATAATATATTTCAACCTTATTGCTAACAGGGTAAGGGATATAACTGCTTGCCCCTAACCACTGTGGGTTCAAATCTCTGCAGGGACTTTGGATTCTTCCATGTGAGGGAGCTATCCAGCTAGCTAAAGAAATGTCAGTGGTTCTACTCAATGTGCCAGTTTGTGCCTGAAATAATGGAAGGACACCCAAGGTTTTCCTCCTCCAGTAAAACTGGAAAGTTGTCTTATGACCTATACTGTGTTGATGGGGCGTAAAAACCCAATTAAAACAAAATGCTTTTAGACTAGCATTTTTAGACTAGCATAAGTCACTTTGTGAATTTAATATATAATGTGAGCTTTCCTGGTCTGAGAAATTCTTAAAATTCCTATTTCTCAATAAAATTTTCATGAAATTTAAGGCAAGTTCTTTTGACGGATTGTATTGACAACTGTATAAATCAAAGAAAATTGTAATGTATGTGTATTAAACAAATGATATACGTATCATATTGAACTCAAAGACTCTTCTTAGTTTATAAATGATTGTTTACAATATACTTTTATATATTTAAATTATATTAGAATTGTACATTAGAAAGACACATGTTATATTTTAACAGCTATCAGAGGAAAACGTGTATGATGTATTATGTGCGGCAGACATGTTTCTACTTCCTGGTTTAAAACGTTTCTGCGCCAATGCCATGGCAAAGTTTCTCACAGTAAATGATGTAGTGACAGTACTCCGGACGGCACGAATGTTCAATCTTCCACGACTTGAAGACCAGTGTGCAGAGTTTATTGCAAAAAATCTCGAACCTGTGAGTACATATGCATTATAAGTATCGTACATAAATCTCAAATGTATGTATCATAGATATAAGACCTGTGAGTCAATACACTGCCACCTCATTATAATGCGCCCCCATGATAATGCTAGACTCGGTATAACGTTAGCCTCAGTATAACCCTCATAGACCTTGATTCCAAAAAGAAAAGAAAAAATCTTATTTTTTGCTGCTAACATTTTTTTCATGTACATTAAAGATCCTGTATGTGGTAATTGAGGTTGTATACCACACTTAAGTGAAATTATGCCTATAAAACAATTTTCAAACATCGAAGAATATGTATAATATGTACTGCAGATATGTAATCATTAAAATATATGCATTCATTTCTTATTGAAAAATTTGACTTAGACTTTATAGAAAATAATTTTTTGTTACCTCCCTTTATTTACATGAAATGTTAACTTCGGTAATATCTTTATAAATAATGCTTTTTGGAACTTACAAAATTGATAAATCTTAATTTGAGCATCATATTTATGATATAAATCCATAAAAAATTTGTGTTACAGGATCTTATATGCCATAATGCTTGTTCAATGTGACAGTTAATGCAGTAATTTTATGATGAGGGTTATATATCAAAACCTTATTTAAACACAATGTTGAGACTGTGGACCTCAACATAAGTGTTATAACGAGGTGCAGTGTATATATTTCAGGTATCATATTGAAACTCTAAAGTAAATTATATATTATTAGTATGTCACATGAGCAAATAGGATTAACAAATTAATAAAAATGTAAATTGTTATTTAGAATAAAAAAACTTAGACTTTAGACTGTTTTTATCAAAGAGCTGGAAAAAGATGCATGATGTTAAAAAAGATGACATCAGATGTTTAATTCGAGTATAAAGTCATCATTGCGGTGTAACTTTTAATTATTTTTTTTTTTTGAAGTAATGATATTTGCAATAATAAATTTTTATGCACACACAGAAATCATTGTAATTTTTGTGTTTAAGCCAATCAAAATTCAAGAGATTTATATGAATTATTATGATAGATATCATATTTTATTCTTGAAACTGTGAAGTTATAAGGTAAATAATGGCTAAATGGATAAGATATTTGCATAATGAATCGAAGGTTTGTGGGTTTAAAGGCTACTTGGGTCACAACCATGTTTAGTAATGTGACACCAGTGAGTGACACCAGCACTGGTAATTTCCAGCATGTTTTGTTTTAATAGATATAGAAATCAATTGATGTTTTAAAATTGAATTTGTTTTGATGGGCTTTTTATATTTCTATTGTTTTTCGATTTAAACAGTGTTTTTTTACCTTCTTTTAAATTCTAAAATTTACCTGTTAACAATGCCATTTATATCATTTCATGCAATTTTGTGACTTTACACTGTCATTTATACCTTAAAATGCTAATTTACAAGTAAGCATCACTATTAACACATTTTAGTGCAAATTTACCACTTTGCAAAAATCATTAATACCTAATACCTTACCATGCAAATTTACCACTTTATGATACTTTCAATAAAATGTAACCTTACTATATGAATTTACTTTTCTGTAACATCATTATTACCTTATCTTGTAAATTTACTCTATGTCTTACAATGCAAATATCCCACAATGCGGTGCCGTAACCATGCAAATTTACTACAATGTCAGATATACCTTACAATGCAAATTTACCACTATGCAATACCAGTATCAGCTTCCCATGTTAAATAAAAGTGTTAAAGTTGGCTTTTTTTATCCAAAGCTGAAATGTTGTATGATGTTGTGATAAAAAGAATGTTATATAATGTCAACAGGTTCTACAGCAGGACGAGTTTGCGGAAGTTGTTAAACAAGATGCGTCCGATGTGCAGGACCGTGAGGAGACAGATTCTATTGATATCATTGATAGTATAAGGTTTCATCTCACCAGTTTCATACAAACATACAGTGACATGCAAGAGGCCGAGGAGTCCATGAAAATTATAGACGATTTCCTTGAAAGGATCGGTTTGGAATGTTAGACTTTGTTATGTAGGAAATGGTTCGAATTTTGTGTGTTAAGAATGTATTGTATAAAACATAATTGAATTTTGAACGAGGGGGTTTTCTTTTTTCTGAACAACGGAATAATGCTTGTTTTTGTTTGTATTTTATCAACTCATTTTGTTTTGGAAAATGATTTTTTATTCCTACAAATTGAGGGATATTTGGTTTGGGAAATTATTTAGAGTTTTAGTTATTATCATATTGGTATTTATATATTTTGAAATATATACAAACAAATATATTCACAATATAATACTACCAGGGATGACAATGAGTAACAGGTTAACTGAGTACTCAAACAGGTTAACTGAGTACTTTAAAACAGGTTAACTGAGTACTCAAACAGGTTAACTGAGTACTTTAAAACAGGTTAACTGAGTACTCAAACAGGTTAACTGAGTACTTTAAAACAGGTTAACTGAGTACTCAAACAGGTTAACTGAGTACTCAAACAGGTTAACTGAGTACTCAAACGGGATAAAGGTCAACTGAGTACTCAAACAAACATTTGAGTATTGGTTAGCAAAAATTGATACTCTAGTAATAGGCAGAAAAAAAGAAACACCTTTTTTTTTTATAAATGTATAATTATAGTGAGGTAAAATAATTTAGAATAACTTTCTTAGATTATCATCTATGATAATAGGAACTTTCAGACTTGTTAAAGGTAATCAAAACATCCAATGCAGAATTGAAAATTGAGAAATGTATCATCTTTACAAGACAATCAACAGTTTGATAGGTTTAAAGTAATAAACAGCAACTACTTCTGAAATTTGTACCTGGGGTACTTGATAAATGAACAACTTATTGGTTAATTGCTTTAAATGATTTGTATTTGTGGTACTTGATATATGAACAGCTTATTGGTTAGATGCTTTAATTGATATCAACTGTGTATAAGATACAAATCAACCTTTGTTGTTATATTTATTTTCAAGGTACATTCTTTGCATTTACATAACTTGTCAATTCTGTTTATCAAAATAGAAAAATGAAAGTGGGTCACTGACAATGTCATAATTATAAATCATCTTCTAATCCTTTTTAAGACTTATTTGAAAAGAAATGAAAAATACTAATCTTTAAGATAGATTATGGTTATACAGTTTAAAGTTCTAAGAAATCTACCAAGTAAGGAGGTACTTGATCGGAAGAATGACAAGTGCTTAAATTGGTACTCATTGTCATCCCTGAATACTATAAATAGTTAATGTTTAACAAGCCTTGTGAATCTCTACCAGCTTTATTTTCCTCTTCTAAGTTTGTGATATAGCAAAAACTATTCCTACCACAGAGACCTCTTAGTTTCCTCACAGTAATATTCTCTATATCTTGTCATGGTGTCTTGATTAATTTATATTTCAGATATTTTATACTTAGGCTTTTTGCGCGTTTTTCAATCAACTTAATTTAGGTCATGAACACCAAGACAGGAAATAGATGATTCTACTATCCCTTATAGAGCCTTCATAAATTGACTGATAAATTTGATTCTTGATATGTACGTATACTAGGTACCTTGCATGAACATCTACCTCTTTGTGGGTTGAATGTTAATTGTCAAGGACAACATAGTTTGAGATGATATGTTTGAATATTTTACTTTTCTTAGTAAAGACTTTATATTTATTGACAACCTTCACATTTAGTATGTACAGGCATTATGGCTTTGATGTCAACTGTGTCAAGGTCACAAGAGCTAAAAATAGATTTTATGGGATTTCACTATTTTTGCATAAAATCATGCATGTGCTTGATTAAGCATCATCAAAGATGAAAATGGTTGTCATGTAGGCAAGCAATACAATCCCCAAACACAGAAATGTTTAAACTTTTGAATGTTATTGAAAAAAAATAAAGGGAAAGAAGGCAACTGTGTCTCAGGTTTTATTTGCTAATTTAGATATATCATTGAAAAACATAGTTATGTTAGCAAGAAATTTGAAATATCTGTTCTATAAAGCTTAAATTGGACTTGATTGGTAATTTTCGAAATATTATTACCGATTGCTACAGTCAGATTGTCATTTCAGTCGTCATTGCTGTCTAGAAAGTTTATGATTGGACATTATTTTGTTTATTTTCTGAATGGATTGTCTTTATACTTAAACACAACAACTCTTTAGACAAGACCATTAAGTAGACCACACTGAATTTGACTTTGATACATAAATGACCTTAAAATTAAGGTCAAATAAGGTTAAGGTCAAATGTTTGTTTTTTGATGGATTTTTGCTATATTTGGCTCATACTTTGTTATATGCTTGTATATAGATTATGTTCATACTTGGGTATAAGACAAGCAGATTTAATTTGACCATGACCTTTATTTGACCTTGACACTTACAGAAAATTATTGAATTTTGGTCAAGTATGAAATCTAAATTTTATGCTGTACAAGAAAATTACTTTAAAAGATATTTTTTCTCCAGTGTGTTTGTAAAGTTGAGCATTGACCTGCTTGGGGTGACTCTTGTTATAAGCTTAAATGATAGTTAAAATTTTGATGTTTTAGAAATTTTAGAAAGGTCGTTACTCTGCAAAGTTTGTATTGCAATATTCAAGCTGTTAAATCAATCACTTTTTTATTTATACATGTATCATTGTTTATTTCCTGTGATTTAGCTTGTTTTCTATTCCCTTTGAATTACATCTAGAACTCAAAATATTTTATAATGCATGTTTTAAATAGTAGAAGTGATTTTTTCTCCTTAATGATATGTTAAGAAATGTTGTTGTTGTTTGAAGGTGTGATGTATTAAAGAAAGGGTTTTTTTTTAAAAAGACTTAAGATATATTATAATTGTTCTTGACATGTGTGTTTTTACTACTGATGCACCATTAATAATTGGCATGTTAAGTTCCAGAAAAGCCTCCCATGTGCTCGAAAAGTTTCATTGTTTTATATATAGATAAAAACAACTTAAATCGGTGAAGAAAAAGTAATTCAAAGTTTAAATCCTTTTAATATTTTGGCTACCATATGTGCTCCATAAGCCCCAGCTGCTGGAAAAATCGTTGGATTTTACAAAATTTACTGCTAGTTTATTTTGCATGACCATAATGAATTTAAATGTTTTAAAATCACTCACAAGTGCTACATTGCAGGCTGTACTAAAAGTTTTACTGGATGAGCACTGTGACAGTCCATTTCTTTTGAAGTATGTAGATTTGAGTCAGTGATACATATGAATGTATAGAAACCTAGATATTTACAAGTATATAGACAACACAATACTGTAATTTTTAAAGTGAATGTGCATTTTAACAGTTTTTTGAGAATTGAAGTGCTTGTTGCTTTTCATACACTTTTACATTTTGACTAGGTAGTTTGTATATTTATATTAGGACAGGGCAATTCACAGACACTTTAAATTTGGAAGTTGAAACATATTTAAATCCAAATAAATGTTTTACTATTCTTTGTCAATCCCAGTACATATACTTAAAATAAACATGCATATTAATAAAACTTCATTAAAGCTGTTTTGAATTTTTTTTTATTTCAATGTCTTAAATATTGTTAACATTGAAATATGATTTGTTTTCAAAACAGCTTAAATCAAGTTCTATTGATATATAAGACAAGTATAATTTTGTGTTGGGATTGACAAATATACAATTATATTTAGCACATTTAGAGCTTTTACACCCAAAGTGTCTGTTGGGCAATTTATATTTACCCCCCTCGCTTGTTTTATAGTTGCACTATGCAAGTTTATTGTTTTGTCCAGTTATAACAGAGATTTATATTACTGGGTAATGTATCTCTGTGATTATAAGTTCAGATTTATGCTAAGTTATGTTCAGATATTATTTGAGATATAAGGCTAGAAATATATAATATTAAAGTACTATCAGGCAATATTAAAAAAAATCAAGTTATAATTTATAGAGGAACTACAAACAGTTTCACTGTGATGTTAATTCCTCCACGGATGTCATGGCAAATAAAGATCTGATATCTGCTTTTCTACACTAACAAAACAATTAAAGGCCCATTAAGCCACAGAAAGAAATAGGTTTTCTTCCTGTAGAAAGGACAGTTATAATTTTGAAGCTAAATTGGCCTTTAAAAGCAAAATTAAAGAAGGAAATTTTTTTTTTGAAATTTGTTATATTTTTATAGGTGTGATCATTGCTGTATAAGTCATGTTGCCATAGCAAAAAGTGCTATATTTATTTACTGCTGAAGTAGATGTGCTGATGGGTTTTATATATATATATTTATATTATCTTTTTATTTTCCTGTTTGTGTTGATCTTTAAATTAGAATAAGAAATGATGTATCAAATGGTATTTTTAAACTTAATGTTTTGAAATGTTGTCGAAAGTTTGGAAGTACACCTAAATTTACCTGTACATTGAGAACACTGGCTTATCGAAGTTCGACTTACTGAGGTTCTATTGTATTTGATAGTAATTACAATACATGTATGTGTTCTGTATTAAAATAGCTAAGTAGGAAATTGTTGACTTAGATATTCAATTAATTAAACAATATTGAAGGTACAATTATCAGATGCTTTTAGAAATTTCACAGATATTTTGTTACTTGCCAGATGTTATAATTATCATTATACAATTATCATAGGCTAGCAGATTCAGTATATATTATTATTATTATTATAAAGATTTTTGTCAGGTTATATTGCCCTATATAAATGGTTGATATATGTAGTAAATATAACCTGAGTCACTTGCAAACATATTGCAAACATTTGTTTATATATGGCCATATAACCTGTCAGAAATATCTATAACAACTTTATAATACAGCAAGCTTGTTTTATTAGATTATTAGTTTCAGGAGAATTTCAGTAAATCTTATTGTAGAAATAATAGTGGGGCATGGTAGTGATATCGAGTTCAAACATTATATTCAAGGGAAAAATGTTTAATTTAAAGTTTATATAGATATGGGAAAGTAATTTTGTAGAATTTGTTGCCAAGGAAACTAGAGATTCCAGTTTCTCAAGATTCCCAAGATTAGAATAATGTCAAAGAGAGAAGAGTTTATTTTATTTCTATTAAATCAAAGTCCAGTCAATCATTACAAAAGCTCCATCATGTTGAAAAATATTTACCAATTGTTATGTATATCTTTTTCATGTTATGTGTTGCTTAGTTTTCTTATAAAAATGTTAACAGAGTTCTCATAAATATAATCGTGTGTTATTTTTTCATATTTTGATATGAAAAAAAAAAAACCCATTTGTCTGTCGTTTTGTTACTAATCTGTATATTGCTTGATTTTCAACTGGTTTATTTTTATCACTCATATATGTATCATTATTTAGTTAAGTTTTCAACACACTTAATAAATTAAATAAATGTACGAAATATTGTTTGTTTTAATGTGTGTACCAAAGTGATCTACTGCTTATAAAAAACAACAACAAAAAACCCAAGCACATGTACCATAGTGAACGTATACAATTATGAACTAGAAAAATAGTTTATTTTAATTTCATTTTTAGAGAAGGATAGAATTTATTTGATGCTTACCAATGAAATACTGGTGATTTATTGTATAAAAAAATCTCATAGCCAATTTGCTCAATACAAATAAATAACCTCTATGCGTATCCACAAGAATATATGGAAACAAAGCTAAACAAAAGGTATGAACCTTCAATAGCCGGAATGTCATGGTCGATTTTTCATGTGTGGAAGCTATCCAGTTAGCTTACAGAACGTCGGTGGTTCTACCCTGAAATAATGCACAGAGAGGCACCTAAAGTCTTCCTCCACCAGAAAAGCTGGAAAGTCGTTATATATAGTGTTATTATATGTACTGTTAAAACCCAATCAAAAATATAATGATATGATAGCACATGTATTGTGACAAACGGAATGTGAAAATTGCTTTATAATTTTATTGAAGTTGAATAGTGATTTTATGGATCTAGCATCCTGGGTCTATATAATGCCCTAGGATTGGAACCTTCCTCTGCTAAAAGATAAAAGTTGGTTTACAACATTTCAAGATCAAATTACTGTATAAGTGACAGAAATATTGCGATTTTTGCAAATCAAAGTAATTTGCAAATCATTGAGCCGGCAAATGTTACATCAACTTTAGGAAAGTCTTCACACTATGAAATAAAGGTTCTTAATTAATTGTCAAACTGAACATTTACATAATATTTATTTTGATATATCGAAATTAGCTATGTGAATAACGTGTGCCAATAACATCAGCTATAACAAAAAATATTTTCATACATGCACTGATGTGACAATCGATGATCATTGAAACAAATTAATACTGCTTGCTTGAATACTATCTATGTATTGGTTATATGAATGAATAGTCAAGGGGCAGGACGTGAAGTGGTTGCACACTTGGTTCAAGCGAGCGAATTGGTTGCAAACTTGACAAAATGGCGAACACGACGTGAATTATTGAAACGGGTGAACGAATTTTTGCCAGGCAAGTGGGTTTCCTTGTTATTTTGATGTTCATTAGTATGTCTATTCCATAATGCAATTGTCATGTGGTCGATATTCGTGTTTTTGAATATCGTTTTTATGTATCATTTTGTCCTTGTATTTGTATATATCTCTTGTATTTGTCTGTTTACAGTCCGATATACAATCCATTATCCCATATCATTCCTATATCATTCCATTTCATCATCTCATTATAACAACTAATTTCTCATATTTCATTTTGACATAATTTGCATGCCGGGCCTCAGTTTTTACAAACTTCCCGGAAAATCCATCTCACGCATGCGCACTTTGATATAAATATTTCCTTGGTTTGCGCCAGAAATTGTTATCTTATTTATTTATTTATTTATCAAGGCGTATGTTTATGTCCTTACAGGTAATTGTTGTTATTCATTATGTTTCATTATCATGCATATTTCCATTGATCGTTTATGTATTTCGGATCTGTATTTATGCACTTTGATATAAATATTTCCTTGGTTTGCGCCAGAAATTGTTATCTTATTTATTTATTTATCAAGGCGTATGTTTATGTCCTTACAGGCATAAACAGACCATTCCTACATTTGAAAAAGGACCATACGACACAATATATATGTCACACTCGGTTAAAGGTTTCAGCGTCCTAGATTCTGTTTTGACGAACTTATTGAAGATTTTAACTGATCATGTAGATATTTTGAAATTTGACATGTGACTGTTCTGGTCGGTTTTTCTCCTAATTAATTCGAATTTGTAAGTTTTGAACTGCATTTAACAATAACAAAATATGTTTCTGTCAATGCTGTACAAATGGTTTAGTTTGCAAGTCCGAAGATAACGTTCAATGCACAAAAATATCTTGTTCAAGCACATTTCGGTGCTTAGATAGAGCTTAGATATTTCGCATGAAAATATCTTTTAGTGAGTGTCTACCAAGGTTGTCCAAATTAAAACCCTGTGGTCAAAATTTGCCCCGTCCCGGGGGCTCATTGATTTTCCTTATATTTATATAGTAAGACAAAAAAAGGTTTCTTTTGAAAAGCCAAAGAGATAGAGCTTAGATGTTTGGCATGAAACATCTTCTTATTAGTGTCTACCAAGTTTTGTTCAAATAAGAATAGATCAGGATCAAGTGATCCTGATTTTATTGTGATTGTTTGATGTTACTAAAATTACTCATGTTTTGCTAGAATTAAATGTTAAATATTCAAAATGTAAAAAAATGCTGATTTGCAAAGAAACTGTTTTGTGATAAAATAACAAAACTAATTCAAAAATATTCGGATCAAAATAAGGATCAATTTAAGGATCAGGATCAATATTTGGATTAACTGTAAAATGCTCATTTCTTGCAAAAATAACAATAAATTTATTTTATAAATTCATAAACTTGCTATTGCAAGTGTAGTTTTATTAAATTAATATTAGACATTTAATCTGAGAATTGCCAATGATGAATATTAGAGTTTTTAAATTTGATCCTGATCTTGATCATTAAATATTTGTGAACACGGGGGCAGGGGCCGATATATGCATATAGTAAAAATAAAATCTTCTTTTGAAAGACCCAAATAAAGAAGTATTCTAACTCAGGTGAGCGATTAAGGGCCATTATAACCCTCTTGTTGTGATTTTATGCTCCACGAAGGAAATGCTTATCGTTGCCGTCTTGTCCGTCTGTCCGTTCGTTTTGTCCGAAGAACTTCTTGAAAGCCCTTGGTTAAATTTAGGAAACTTTGTAGGTAGATAGATCTACATTGTATATGAACATGAACATTATATAGCTAGCTATAAGACGGTTAAAAATAACACAAGGGTAACAAGATGCTTGAATATAGAGTACAATTTGAAAGACCCACGGATAAAAAAGAAATAACTTTGCTTAGATTCTTTAACTATACTTTTATGGACCCCCGTGATAATTGACAATAACAAAAAAAAATGTTTTGTATGTTTAGAATTTCATCATTTATAATACATGTACATAGGTGCAATGACGTCTTAACTTTCGCTTCCGCTTAAAGCAATCTATTTTTAAATCACTTTTAAATTAATGTAAAACACATCATGATACTGTGTCATGTGAATATGACCGAGCTGCGAAGGGAGCGTAAAAATACTGAGTGGTTTCCTTCTAAATTGATGAGTTTTTCGAGTTATCGGCAATTGTCTTAATCATAATTACTGTTTGTGGTAACTTGTCTATCTTTGACCAATTATTTTCAACAGAAGGACGTTATAAAAAACAAAACTATGATGGGGATAAAATTTGATTTATGAGGTTTTTTTTAAACAGAATAATTACGTAACTGTAAAAAAATCAGAAACAATTTACAAATGATTGCAAAAAGGGATAAATAAGTTTGCCAAGAATAGTTATAGTTACTTCAAACTTTAATTTCAAATATAAGAAAATTTCATCATCCGAATATTTTATTGATATAGTTTTAGTGCCACACCAATCTTTGTATTTTTGCTCAAATTTCAATAACCATGGCATATTTAGAGGAAGTATTTTTCATATGAAACATGTATTTTTGTAGAAATTATCTATGTCTTTGTTTTCATTTTATACGAGCGTGTTACCCCTGGACCATGGGCTTCAAATATATTATAAGAAAAAAGTCAGCAGCAAACCATTCTAAATATAGAATTTCCATTTGGGTTTGTAATCCTCAAGTACACTGTCTAATATTTTTTATACCTCTACTCGCATATGGAAGTCCCTTGTATGTACATTGGTTAAATGAAACCTTTCAACCTAACATGACTACATATCGTTTCTCAATTATTCCAATGTCAAATTTTGAAATGTTTATTTTATGGCACATTTTGTCTCGACCATAAATTTTGACTGTGTTTGTTAGGATGTTATCAGTCAAGATTTCAAAGTTTGACAAGAGTTTCAATGCATTGGATAATGTCTACAAAAATAGGACTTAGTCTGCCTTGAAAGTAGTAATGGCATCAGATCGAAATGGACAGATCTACAAATTTTGTTTGCTACTAATTGCGCTCCAGCAGTGCTCTCGGCGCTTTGATTAGACATTGTGATATGTCAAATACTTCTTTAATGATTATTCTTGTACACTGGTGTCATTTGTTTATCCGTTAAGAGAAGATATAGAACACATATGTTAAAATTAAGAAACCTTGCTAATCAGTATATGGTATAAGATATGAGCAATACACCGAGTAATAAAAAGAGATAAATGTTTATTAAATATATAAACTGACACTATCACTAAACTTGTAACACATTTCGATATAAATCTAAAAACCTGTAATCATTCTGTTTGAACTACCAGCCAACCGAAGTGTAAATTCTCTGAACCAGTTTAAAAAATCCTCAGCCATAGAGTCCATAAGCCGATAAACAATTCGTGTTTTGCTTTCCCTTTCCCAAATAGATTGAGGGTTGCCATATCCATCATAAGAAACTACAAGCCTGCTTTTTGGATCTTCCTCAGATTCGAAACTGACGGGATCAGTGTCATGAAAGTTGATTGAAATTCGAAAACTTTGAAGTCTCAACTTGCCTGACTCTCTGCTCACTTCGCATACTGCATGGTCAAATAGACGTCTGTCTTTTTCTGTCAGGGAATCTAACTTTGGTCTCATTTCTTCGATCATTTGTTCATGTGTAAATATTTTTGTCACCTTGAAAAACAAACGTTAAACAAAATGATTTTCCTCAATGTTGCAAACAGCGTTTGTTACTATCACTTTCAAATCATATATAAAAAATAATACACGTTCCCGTTGGTTACGCGTTGCGACTGAATTTGTGCAGCGCAATAAATATTGCAAATTGATCTACATATAACTGTAAAAATAATTAATGACCCTGATTGTAAAAGATGACATATGTTTGGCAACATCCACCCATAGGGAAATCTGTCCTTATTTGATTAAATCTATAAATATAATATAAACAAGGGATACAAGTCGTGGCCTCGCATTATCAGCACAGGTTCGTAAAATGCATTCATACATGTAAACTACATAAAATATCCTCGTTTCCATCAAAGTTGTTGTACAAAGGATTAAATGAACTGGTCATTAACCAAGTTCTACAACAAACCATTCTTTAAAACATGTCACATTGCTAAAATAACATTTCAAGATTAACATTGTCAAATTGTCGCCCATTATGCTGGTGCGTTTATGTTGCGAGTATTTTCATTGGCTGATGAAAAATGTAACAATGCGAAAAAGCGAAAATACGACAGATGGAATGCGTATATATGACATATTTTATGTGTCGTATTTTCGCCGTCCTTCTGTCGTATTTTCGCTTTGTTGCCTCGCAATCAAATCAAAATGGTAAATATAAATGCAATTATTATCACACTGGCCATAGCTTTCGCAGAAGCGGTGAGTTCATCGCAGTGGCGATGGAAATTTCGTCGCAGAAGCGGGGGATAAAAATCCCGTTTGTTTGTCGGAATTTTAAATGCTAAATTTTATTTTATGTTTTAATGTATTCGGAAACCCCTTTTGTAAAGACAAGAACCCAAATGTTTTTTTTCAACTTTACACCACAGGGGTTCCATTCCATTTGTGCTAAAACTGTTTACGGTTTGCTGGGGATGCAATTTTTAAATTAAATTTTAAAACACGTTAAAATTTGTGCAAAACCCCCCTTTAAGGGCACCGCTTTAAATTTAAATGTTTTAAATTTGAAACAAAACAACCAAAATTTTGGGAATTTTTGAAAAATTTTTTTCCCTTTTATAAAGAATCGACATACGGGGGGTCCCGGTCCTTTTAAGGGTCTATTGTTGGGGTTTTAAAAATTTGACATAACTTTTTAAATTTTTAAAACCCAACCCTTTTTAACGTTTCTTTTATTTTTTAAAAAATATGATTATATTTTAAGAATCTTACATTTGGCTCCCGGTCCCAATTTTGGGAATGTCTAGCTCGAATTTTAACTATTTATTCCCGTAACGAGGCTCTCCCCGATTTTCCCGCTGAAAAATTAAACCCCGGCTTTTACGACAGCCTTTTTTACTTTTTCTTGAAAATTTTACTTTATAAAACTTTTTTTTTCATTATGTTTTTTTTTATAAAAGCGTTGAATTAAAATTTTCTTTCCATTAGGGAAAAAATGAGTTTTTCTGAGTACAAAATTTCATTTAACAAATGGCGCGGAAATGACGTAAATTTAAAAGCGCCCCACTGTTTAAACGGTTTTTAAAACCCCGATTTTTCTAGCAGGGGTTTCTGAATGGAAATTTTAAATACAAATTTTATGGCTCCCGGTAAAGGGAAAAATCTGTTTGGGGTTTTAAACTTTTTAAGGGGGAAACCGACCCCTCTCCTCGCCCCAATGCGGGTTTGATTTTTTTTCTTGCTTTTAAAAAAAAATTTAAATTTTCAAACAGAAACGGGGAAAAATGACTTTCTCTTTAAAACACTTTTTTTTTCTTATGTGGGTTTAAAAACTTAAAAACTTAAATTAAAGGGTTTAATTTACTTTGGGGTAAGAAGAATTCATTCAAAAAAATGTCGCCCCCAAGAGGGTTTTTTAAAGCACGGGGACTTGCTTATTTGGGATAAAAGGGGGTTTTTCTAGCACGGGGGAAAGGGGAAACCCTGTTGATTTTAAAAAATCCGTCTATATGCAAAAAATAACTTTTAATACTTCCCCCAATTGAAAAGTCGTTTTTTCTTTGGATATCAAAAAATTTATTTGCTTTTTTCAAGGATCCCGGGTTAAATTTTTTTATGTTAATTCCAAATATTTCTAAAATATGCTCAAAAATATGTAACAAGAACGGTTTAATGAACCCGGACCCCCCCTACGACCCAAAAAAAAACCAGTAAGGACCAAAAGGCCCCCAAAAAAAACGGGACAGGGTGAAATGAAATTTCAGGGGAAGGGTTTATTTAAAAATGAAAACTTTAAAAAGAATATAGAAACTAAACGGGAAAATTTCAAGAAATAAAATACAAAAAATTTTTAAATAAAAAGGCCATTTATTTAAAAGGGCACGGGGGAAGGGTTTAGGAATTCGGGGGGGGGCCTTAAACCTTTATACAAAATATTTTTAAATTTTTATTTATCAATAAAAGGGAAAAAACCTTTGAAAAACCCCCGGTAAAAACCAAATTTTTTCCCCCAGTTTTTTTTTGGAATGATTGGGGTAGGGGTTTCAAAAAGGGGAAGGGTTTAATGCCAAATATTTAATTTCACCCTTTTGGGTCAATTCAGAGGGGGAGTTTTTTTTAAAGTTTTTTTTTATCACGCGAAAATTTAAAAGGAAAAACCAAATAAAACCCCCCCTGGTCCCAATTTTCATGGGGGCACATTTGAAACTTTTGATAGGGGCTTATTTGATAATTATATAAAAAGATCTATTTAACTTTGGGCCCTTTTTTTCAAAAAGTTTTTATTTTAAATAGAAAAATTGGGTTTGATTAAACCAAAAATTTTAATAAAACTTTTTCACTTTTTTAAAAATTTTTCTCAGTTGACACATGGGGGAAAATGACGTAAAATTTATAAAAATCTTTTTTCCCAAGTATAAAATACTTGAATTTTTTACAAACTCTCAATATTTTTTTTAGAAATTTTGCAAAAAAAGCGTTCTTTTTTTATTTGGCCATTTACGTACCCCGGGAAAGTTTTTAATTTTTTTAAATTTATAAAAATGCTTACCCTTGTAAAAAAGTTTTTAATTTTTCCCTTCCCTTTTTAATTCACGAATTATTTTTTTTGTTATAGTTTTATTACATAATAAATTTCAAAAATTTTATTATATGTTTTTTTTATTTTTTATATAAATATTTAATTTTATAATCCAAAACTTGAATAGTAATTTTAATAAATTTTTTTTAATTTAAAATTTTATAAGAATACTGATTATGCGTTTTTTCCTAAATTTTTATCCCTTTTTTTAAAATTTAAACATGGGGTTAAAAGGTACTTTTTTTTCCAAAATTTTAAATTTCACTAAAAACCTTTTTAATTTTATTTTTTGTAATTCAACAAAAAAAGGGAACTATTTTTTTTTGGGTTTTTTACCCGGAAGGGTATTTTTCAGAAAAGGTTTTTTCCCCTATGGGGCCGCAGAAATGCACAAATAACTTGTATATTTGCAAGCTTTAATAAAAAACCTTCCCATTTGTCGCAAAAAAAACTTTTTTTAATATTGAAAAATAAAAGCATTTTCCCTTTTGCAATTGAAACCAAAAAAAAGAAACTTTTTTTTTGTTTTTTTTGTTTTGGGGTTTTACTTTAAATCGACCCATTAGTCAAAAAGCGACTTCCAGTTTTTTGGTGGGGGAAAGGACTCATTGTTTTCTCCGTGATTATTTTGGGACGAAGGGGACGGGTTTAGAACCAGGGGCCCTTTCCCGTAAAAAAGTGGTTTCCTCAATAAAAGAATAAAAATTTTCCCTGTCGGTTTTCAACCCCAAGCTTGGGGGTCAGGTTTTTAAGTAAACGATTTAAAAACTGGCCCAAAGGGAGCCCTAGAAACCATTAAACGAGTATCTAAAATTCCCCCCCTGCGCTTGGGTCAAAGGGTTTAAAATCGTCATTTTTCTTTTTGAGTACGGGGGTGTTTTCATGGGGGCTGAGAAGGGCTAAAAATATGACATTTCTATTTCCCCCGTCTTTGTTTAAGTGAAAAACCCAGAAAATCCCCAATAATGGAAATGTCTAAGTGCGGGAAACTTAACTCCCCTTAAACCCGAATGTTAAAAGTATTAAACCAAATTTTTCCCATAGGGAACCCATAGTTCCCTTTTTTAAAAACACTTCAAAATTGGTCATGTCCTTTGACAGTGGGCTGGGGTTCTAAAAAAGGGTTATGGGGGGTTTTAAAAAATTATGTCGTTTATGGGGGTTCCTGTGGGTTTTAAATTAAATTCCTGGGGTTTTTTTAAAATTTTTGTCTTTTTGAAAAAAGGTGCTGTTTTTAATTTAAAGGGTATGTGGATTTAAAAAATTTCTTTGGTTTTGAAAAAGGGTTATTTTCTTTTTGAAATGGTGGTTGTGGTTTAAAAAAAATTTTGTGCTTTTTGATAAAGGTTAGCGTTTTAAATTGGGGCTGTATTTAAAAAAAAAGGGTGCTTGGTTTTAAATAAATGGTTTTGGGGTTTTTTGATAAATTTTGTCTTTTAAAAGTTGCTGTAAAAAAAATTGCGGTGGTTTAATAAGTGGTGCGGGGTTTTTAAAAAAGGGATGTCGTTTTGAGAGGGTTGCGGGGGGGTTTGAATAATTTTTGGGGTTTTAAATTTAATGGTGCTGTTTTTTTGATAAAGGGTTTTATGTTTTTTGACAGATTTGTTTTTTGAAAAAGGGTGTTGGGGGTTTTAATAATTGGTGCTGGGGTTTTGAAAAAGGTGTGTCGTTTTTACAAGGGTGATGTAGATTGAATAAATGGTTGTTGTGGATTTTAATAAGTGAGTGCTGTGTTTTGATAAATGGTGATGTGTTTTGACAGATGGTGCTTGTAGTTTAGAGTAATGGTGCTGTGGTTTGAAAATGGTGATGTAATTATGTTTGGGCTGTGGTTTGAATACTTGGTGCTCGCAGTAATGAATAAATGGGTGATTGTCGTTTTTATTATGGTAGAGTACTTTGGTATCTGGTGTGGTCAATTTATATACGGTGTTGTTGCTTTTGGATAAATGGTGCTGTAATT